TAGCAGCCTTTAAAATTGACAAGTCCCACGACAAATTCATTCTACGTCAAGAACTTATCTGCACCAAATGAACAGGAGTTGGCCTGCATACTAGAGAGGAGGATCCCTCTTCACGACAAACTTGAAAATCTTAAAAGAAAACTAAGAGACAAGAACGTACACTAGTACAAAATAGGACAGCCCAAACGGTTGGAACCGTTTGGGAAAACACACTCCCAAACAGTTACAACCGTTTGGGCTAAAAAAACTCGTTTGGGCTAAAGCTGTTGGGGAAGAGTCTACCCAACGGTCGCCCAAACGGTTATAACTGTTTGGACAAAATCCCAAACGTTATAACCATTTGGATAAAGTAATATTGTCAAACGGTTACAACCGTTTGGACAGAAATTAGCCTAAACGGTTGTAACCGTTTGGGCGGAAATTAGCCCAAACAGTTACAACCGTTTGGGCTAATTTTTGCCCAAACGGTTGTAACCGTTAGGACTGTGTATTTTAATATTTTTAAATTTTGCCTATTTTATTTATCTACATGTTTACATTTAATATACACATCTCACACAATGATTACTCATTATCTCACAAAAAAATAAAAACATATATATAACTCATTATCTCACACAATGATTACTCATTATCTTGTTGTTGTCCTTTTTATTTTATTTTATTTTAACTTTCCGGTGGCTCAGAGCATCTGAGGACCACAAAATGACAGAGTTATTACATAGTCGCTGTCACATGAGTTACTAGTAGAAACTCCACAGTAGAGTTATTTCCATTTGGACATTAGAGTTTTGTATCACATTTTGTAAAGGGTATGAGCCTTAGTTACATTATCAGTTGTTTTATGTCGAGACATATTTATTTATTTCAGATGTCGGATGTATTCCAGATTGTTCACTGAGACATGATGTATTTATAAGATACCCCTTTCTATATCATGTTTGTTGTAGTTATTTCCTTTCTTTTACCTGTTTTGTAATTACACTTTATTTTGATTTTACTAGAGGATATTACTGTGATTGGTGAAACTTGTTGTTGTACAATGTGGGTGCATGGTAGGTTTGACATCTCTGGATTTATCTTGGACTGCAACCATGTGTGAAAACAGAGACGTCACATGTTGTTTCTAGGGTTAATTGAAGGACGACTTTGAGTAGCTTTTGAGAGAGAATTATACATCCTTTGAGTGAGAATTTGTGAGAGATTTTAAGAGCTTTGTTTGAGGGTTTTGGTGATATTGTAAACCCTATTTGTAATTCTCTTTATCTCTAATAGTAAAAACTCCCCCCTCATTGCCCCGTGGACGTAGGTAACTTGCCGAACCACGTAAAATTCATTGTCTTACTGTGGTGATTGTGTTTTACTTATTGGTTGTAATCTATCTCACTCTTTCTCTGCACTATTTGGCTTTCGAGTTCCGCTGTGCACAACAAGTGGTATCAAAGCTTTGGGTTTGGCTTAGGGCTTGTTCGAATGATTCGCTAAAGGATTCTTACTTGGAGTGTTAGATCTACAATATGGGAGAAGCAATCACATTGGGGTCGTCTCTTACAAAGGCGATATAGAGTCTGAGCATCAATAATACAAAGATTGTTATTCCGAAGTTCAATGAAAATATCAATTTCGGTTTGTGGATATGCCAGGTGATAAATGCGTTGGATGCACAGAATTTAGAGGAGACTCTTGAGTTACAAGAGAAAGCTGAAGACATGGAGGATAATGTTTGGAAGAAGATGAACAGTAGGGCTTGTGGAGTTATTCGGTCATGCTTGACGCTGAATCTTATTTATGATGTGATGAACGAGACGTCGACAAAGAGATTGTAGGAAATGCTCAATGAAAAGTATCTTACGAAGAGCATTGAGAATTGGCTTCACTTAAAGAAGAGGTTTTACCAGTTCAAGATAAAGAGGGGAGTTTCCATTAGGGAGGATGTAAATAACTTCACGAAGTTACTTTTAGATATGGCCCATGTGGACATCATGGTTGAGGATGACGACAAGGAGATGCTACTTTTGTGTTTGTTGCCAGATGATGATTATGGTATGTTCGTTCTCACTATAATCAATGGAAGAACTACTGTTAGTTACAAGGATGTGACCTCAGCGTTGGTGAATTTTGAGTTGAGGAAGAGTGATGGCGAACCCTCCGAAAAGGCATTGGGAGATGCATTAGCAGTTTGAGGCCGTAGTTCAAACCGCCGCCGGTTCAACCGCTCAAAGTCAAAGAATAGAGGTGGTCATAAGAGTATTGGTAGAAATCAATGTGCATTTTGTAAAGAAGATGGGCATTGGAAGAACGAGTGCCCAAAGTTGAAGGACAAAGCCAAGAAGAACAAGGGGAAAGCTGTACAAGTTTCAGAGGTGAATGTTGCTAAACCTGTTAGCGACCATTCATATTCAGATTCTTTAGGCTATTTATGTCCTGCACTACCTTCAGTTTGCTATTCCGACTCTACGGAGTGGGTGTTGGATTCAGGAGCTACATTTCACATCTTCCTTAGGAGCGATTGGTTCTCCAGCTTTGAGAAGCTGAAAAGAGGGGATGTCGTGCTTATATAGTGATTTGGATCGGGTGGATCAGGTGGATCAGGTGGAAAGAGGGGATGTCGTGCTCACGATTCCTTCTGGATCAGGTGGATTTATGATATACTGTGATGCTTCTCATATTGGCCTTGGTTGTGTTCTTATGCAGCATGGAAAAGTAGTAGCATATGCATCTAGACAGCTTGAACCTTATGAAAAGAACTACCCAACACATGATTTGGAGTTAGCTGCTATTATCTTTGCATTGAAGATTTGGCAGCACTATTTGTACGGGGAGACTTGTGACATCTACACAAATCATAAGAACCTTAAATATATTTTCACACTTAAGGAGTTAAATATGAGACAAAGGTGATGGTTGTAGCTAATGACGGATTATGACCTTAATATTCATTATCATCCCGGTAAGGCGAATGTGGTAGCTGATGCTTTGAGTAGGAAGTTTAATACTAGTGTTGCCACTTTGATCACAAATCAGAAGCATATGTTGGAGGAATTGAGGAGACTTGATATTGATGTTCGACTTCAAGGATTTGGAATGATATTTGCTCATCTTAAAACTTAGCCTACTTTGATTGACAGACTTGTGGCTGCACAAAGTGTTGATCCAGTTCTTATAAAAATTAAGGCAGATGTAGAGCAGTGACTTCAACGTGATTTTACAGTTCATAATGGAGCTTTGAGATTCAAAAGCCGCTTATGTGTACCTAATGACCCAGAGTTGAAGAAAGAAGTATTAGAGGAGGTGCACTGTTCGGCATATACAATTCATCCTGGATCTACAAAGATGTATAGAAATTTATGAGAAACATTTTGGTGGAATGACATGAAGTGGGATATTGCAAAATTTGTGTCTAAATACTTGGTGTGCCAACAGGTCAAGATTGAACATCAGAAGCCTGGCGGACTACGTCAGCCTCTTCCAATTCCTGTGTGGAAGTGGGAGGAGGTAACAATGGATTTTGTGACCGTTTTTCCTAGGAGTCAGAGTGGTAATGACACTATATGGGTGATTGTTGATTGGCTTACTAAATCGGCTCATTTCTTGCCTTGTAAAATTACTCATTCTCTTGAGAAGCTTGCTGAATTATATGTTAAGGAGATCATGAGATTGCATGGGATACCTGTAACTATTATATCAGATAGTCGAGATTTCATTCTAGATTTTGGCAAGGTCTGAATAATGCTCCGGGAATACAATTAGGTTTTAGCACATCTTATCATACGCAGACGGACGGTTAATCGGAGAGGACTATTTTGACATTGGAGGATATGCTTTGTGCTTGTGTTTTGGATTTGAAAGGTAGCTGGGAAAAACATTTGCCTTTGGTAGAGTTTGCATATAACAATATCTATCACTCCAGTATTGATGTGTCCTCTTATGAAGAACTGTATAGTAGGAGATGTAGATCACCTATTTGTTGGGATCAGGTAGGAGAAAGAAGGCTGCTCGGTCCTGAGATAGTGAAGATTACTACTGAGAAGATTCAACAGATACGTAAGAGACTTCGTATAGCTCAAAGCAGGCAAAAGAACTATGCCGATAATAGAAGAAGAAAGTTAAAGTTTAAAGTCGGCGATCATATTTTCCTTAGAGTATCACTTACTAAGAGAGTGATAAGGTTTGGAAGAAAGGGAAAGTTGAGTCCGAGATATATTGGACCTTTTGAGATTTTGGAGAGAGTTGGAGCTGTAACATACAAAATTGTATTGCCTCTAGAGTTAGCTAGAATTCATAATGGTTTCCATGTATCAATGCTGAAGAAGTGTGTACTTGATCTGAGTCATGTATTGAATTATGAGCCTCTTGGGATCATGGAAGATTTAACATATTTAGAGTATCCAATTAGAATTTTGGACCGGAAGGAGCAAGCTTTGAGGTCAAGAATTGTTAAGCTAGTGAAGGTTTTAGAGAAAAATCATTCAGCTGGGGAAGGTATCTAGGAGCATGAAGATGAGATAAAGGAAAAATATCCTAATTTGTTTGAAGACTCAGGTATGTCCAAGTTTTAAGGATAAAACTTCTGTTAAGCGGGGTAGTATGTAATAATTCTAAGTTTTTGGCTAGATATATATAAGGAAAAGTAAAGGGGCTTTTATGCAAAATTGTTAAAGGGTTCTAATAGCAAAAAGGGACCTTTATAAATACTTGAACCCTACTTTTTTCTCGTCAACCTATTCTTCTGTTTCTGTCCTTGTTCCGCTCTCACAAAAAAAAAAGAAAACCATAGCTTCTCTCTCGTGTCGACCTCTCTTCTTCTTCCCGTCATTGTTTTGCCGCACACGCACAAAAATAAAGTTCAGACGAAAATAATCTCAAGGAAAAGCAAGGTATTTTATTCTTTCTTCATCTCCTCAACCAAGCAAAGAACCCAATGCTTCATGTACCTTGCCGTCCTCATGTGTTTAATAGAATAGGATATTATATGGTTTGTTTGGTTAGGAATTGCAGGGTCTTTGTCTTCTCTATTATAAAAAAGGAGTAACTAGGTTTGTAAATTATTAGATAATATAGTTCTAGACTTATTAAGAGTTACGTATATTAATTATATGGTGTATAATAACATCCTAAGATTATTTTAATAGGTATTCGGATCTTAAGTTATACGGTAGTTTTGATGGTTATTTGTATATATTATGTAGGAATTCCAAGTGATTTTGTGGAGGCATCGTGAGAGGTTTTTTATTGTCTTTCAGGTTTGTGGTAAGTGGTGAATTTGTACATTATTTGTTGTGTATTTTTTGTATAAAATTATATTGACTATATGCAAGTTTGTTTCTGATGGATTATACTCTTTGTATGGTTTGTTGCATACTAATTGTTTGGATGAATGCACGTGGTTATTTGGTATAAGCCTATGCTTATTTTTCTTTGTCAATTGTTATGTCTTTTCATATAGTAGTAGGTTGATATGCATATGTGGTTGATTAATTTCAGGATTGGTTGGCCTTTGGCATTTCTGTATAACATACTTGCTAATATGAACTTTATTCAATTTTCTTTTTAAAACATATGCATCTCAAGTTAATATACCGATATATGTCAAATATAAGCAAGCTATTTAAACAGGACTCAATGTGCCTCAATGAGGTTTTGTTTTAGCGCTAAGAGCCCAAATTTGGGTCTCACCGTCCCGGAACCACAGGCTTAATAATTGTGGGGTTTACCGAGTCAACCGGAGTATGCAGTGTTGACCGCATTGAGACATAGCCTGCTTATTTCTATTTCATGATTTTTTTAGTTTCCTTAAATATTTACATTAAGTACTAGGGTTCATTGATGATTCTCTATCATTCTTATATTTGCTTATTATTTGTCAAAATATTTGAATTTTTGTAAAATCAGTGTTTAATATATGAATTTATCCACTTATTGAGTTCTGACTCATTGTGTTATTTTCATTCTTTTCAGAGACTTGGGATCAGGTGGAATTGATGATTTTTTTAAATTCTTAGAACGGAGCAAGGAATAATATTAGGACTTGTTATTATCTTCTAGGTGAAGGTTTAATAAAGTCTTTGATGCTTAATTGATAGTGAGAGTTTTGTAATAATGAGATTTTTCCTTTAGGTCGAGTTTTATTTCAAGTTGAGGAATATTTGTTATATCAAGTTAATTGGATTTATCTTGACTTTTTGGATTATAGAGAATCTTTATTGTTGGTGTTAGATCAATGAAGAGATTTTTTTGATGGTCTTTTAATGAATGCATATTTTGGAGGATTTTTCACAGGTTTAGTCCGGCTCCAATATTTCTTTTAGGTTTGGAATTTGGGGTCATGACAGTTGTTAAGGTTACAGATTATTTGTTAATGTTGTAGATTGGTTGTTAATATTATAGGTTAGTTGTTAAGATTGCAGATTGGTTGTTATAATTATTTTTTAGTTGTTAAGGTTACTGTTATTTTGAAAGAATTATAATCTTCTATTTCTCTCAAGTGCAGTTGTGGTTTTATGAATTGACTAGGATCAAGAAGCCAGTATGTGAAAGTACGTCAAGGACTCCCCTCACAAATTGGGTGAGACTGAGAGAAGTTGGGGGTTCCCTAAGATGGGTCACAATTGAAGCCAAAGCTGAGCAAGCTACTATAAAGCTTCCAGAGTTTGAGAGCCAAGTTCAAAGAGTAGATAAGATTTTTAAAGAACTAGGGAGAGGTTTGCAAGAGAAGGAGCATGAGAAGGAGAAAGAAAAAGAGAGGGAGACGAAGAAGGAAAATGAGAAGATTGAGACCGGTAGGGCACGTAGCCTAAGGCAGCCAATCCCCAAAATGAAAATTATAAGGGGATCAGAAGATATTAACACTCTTAAAGGATGGGTAAGAGATTGTAGTTGTTACTGATTAGTTGTGAATTATATCATTTTATTGTTAATGTTATCTCTTGGATGTTAATTATTTTTTTACTAATACTCTATTTGTCTATTGCATAGGTTATTTCTCATAACATCGATGAAGTAGTTGAGCAGCACGATGAGGTAATTGATCAACTGGAATTGCCTCTGATGTTTTAAAAGATGATCGTGATGATAAATCAAAATTGCGTCGTGACATGGAGAGAAAATTTAAAGATCATAGAGCTTCCGACCGAGAAAAGATAGCTTCTCTATCTACAAAAATGATAATGTTGAAACAAGAGTTGAGGAATGCCCAAGGAAGAAACCTAACTATTTATAAGAAACTGGCACACAAGCGGATGATGCGGACGAGAGAGGTGTCCAACACTAGGAAGGTGTCTAGAGTGATAGAGAATCAAACATGTACAGGTTAGCTAAGTTTAATATTACATATGAATTATATCGTTTTGTTGTTAAGTTTACAATTAGTTGTTAAGGTTAGAGATTGGGTCTGATGTGGATAGTTTAGTTGTCATTGTTGTATATTTGTTGTTAAGTATATGGATTGGTTGTTAATGTTACATATTGGGCGTGAAGATTAGAGCTTTTTGTTAAGCATATAGATTGTTTGTTATCTGAGTTTAAGGTTTTGTTATTAAAATTATAAATTAGTTGTTAAGGTTATAAATTGGTTGTTAAAATTATAGATTGGTTGTTAAGGTTAAAGATTAGTTGTAAAGTTTACAGTTTAGTTGTTAAGGTTGTAACTTGGTTGTTAAGGTTATATATTGGTTGTGAAGCTTACGATTTTTTGTTAAGGTTATAGCTTTATTGTTAAGTATATGAAATTGTTGTTATAGTTAGAGGTCGGTTATCTAGCTTAAAGTTATTAATTATAGTTTGAAAATCTTAAGTAATCCATTGCTTCTTGGGTCAGACACTCCATTCAAAATAGTCACTTCACCGGACATGGAGATTGAGAGAGAAGTCCCTCCATTAGAGATTGATTTTGTTGTTAATGATGGAGGAAATATGATAAAATATGATGAATTTCCTCTCAGTTTTAGGATGAATGAAATAAAATAGAATAAGAGAAAGGGGAATATAAGAGCGACCGAACCCCTTAAGAAAAGAAGAACTGGAAGAAAGGTGAAGACTTCAAAAGATGTTGTTACCTCTTACACAAAAGGGAAGAAGAAGGCAATCAAAAATAAAAAAAATGTGGGGGAAAGATAGAGTGGAAGTGTGATTTGATGAGGATATTTCGCCTGCTAAACTACATGGTGATCCCTTGAAATTTGGAAGATTTTTATGTATTGTCCTATGCTTGAGGAAGAAGAAAAGGTTTTTGAATGATTTAAACAATGAGATTCCCTTTCTTAAATGTTTCATCATCAAATTTTATAATTAGTACGCCATAATTCTACATAATGTTAAGATATCGGAAGATGTTGCTGCTAAGCTGATAGAAAAGGAGAATAAAATTCTCAATCGTTTGTATTTACGAGTGCAACAGGTAAGTATTTAGCTCACACTAAAATTTTATTCCTTTGTTGTTAAAGTTATCTCCTAGTTATTAAGGTCAATAATTAGTTGTTAGGGTTAACAGATTGGTTGTTAAGTTTATACTGCAGTTGTTAAAGTTACAGATTAGTTGTTAACCTTATAGACTGGTTGTTAAGATTAGCTATTGGTCGTTAAGAGTTATTAATCGTTTAATTATTTTTAAATAAGGTATAAAATGTACAATCTAGATAGTTATCTATTGACCGATTTGAGCTTTTTAACATCTCATGTGGTGATCAACTTGATGATTCAGTAAGATTCATATTATGCCATATATTTAGTCTTACTATCTATATTCAAAGTTATTTAATTATTGTTTATAATCTTCTAGGTTTCTATTATTTATTTGTTGTTTGTTATCTTCTAGGTTGTTGAATCGTTGATTGACACAATACGTGAATGGCAGGACATGCCTCAGAATGAATCATTACGCAAAAAATTTAGGCTAGTCTCTATGTTCTATTCAGTAAGTATTTATATCTAAAGGAGGTAGGTCTATTTTAATCTATTGTAAACGTGTCTGACCAGTCTAATTCTAATTACAATATAAAATACATACCGAAGAAGTCAACTATGAGGATTCTTATAATATTTTCATCAAAAGTTTCGTCGATGCTGGAGCTAGTATTTTAATAGTTCCCATTGTCCAACATGATCATTAGTATCTCCTTGAGGTTGATCTACAAAATAATATTGTCAAACACTATAGCTCCTTAAAAGATTGATCTGGATATTGGGAACTTGTACTTAACATGATTAAATTCTTCAACTACATGAAAGCTGGCTTCGACGAGAATAATGTCTTCCTTGAATACAAAGATGTAATAGTTCCATGCGAGGAATAAAAGGAAACGTAAGTTTTCTAAAACCGTGTCTTTTGATGTATGGTTAAGTTTACGAATTACGTAATTAGGTTACACTTTAGTTGTTATCTTTAAATCTTAATTGTTAAGGTTATAGTTTAGTTGTTAACCATACAGATTAGTTGTTAACCTTAAAGACTGATTGTTAAGGTTACAGTATAGTTGTTAATCTTAGGGGTTGTTTGTTAAGATTGCAGTTTAGTTGTTAACATTAGGGATTGTTTAATAAGGTTACAACTTAGATATCAAAGTTTCTATTTTGTTAATGTGAGGAGTGATTTTTAATGATTTATATACGTTTATGTCTAGGTATAACTGTCAGGTTTATGTGTACTTATGTGTACTTGTATATAAAAGCTATTCTTAAAGGAAGAGACATCCGGCACCTCACACCTGAAGATCACTCTACATGGGTCATACGAGTGAAGCTAGCCACTTATTTACTAAATGACGGGAGAATGAAGAAAGAAACTTCTGGATGAACTTGACAATGATGATCTTGAAAGATTTAAACCAAAAGTATAAATAAGCTATGGATCATAGGCTTATCTGACAGTGTTGAAAACAATTTTAAATAGTACTCAAAACACTATTAATTATTGTAAATATTATGATTGTAAATATTTATTTATGGCCTAACATAAGTAAGTTTATGGTTAATTGTTAATGGTTAAGTGTAGGTTGTGAACTGTTACTATCAAGTTGTTAAGGTTATCAATTGGTTGTTATGTTTACACAATATTTAAGATTATAGCTTAGTTTATAAGGTTACAGCTTAGTTATTAAGGTTGTGGCTTAGTTATTAAAGTTATCACTTAGTTGTTAAGATTACGGCTTAGTTGTTAAGGTTACTATTTGTCTTAGTTGTTAAGGTTACAGCTTAGCTGTTAAGGTTAAGGTTTAGTTGTAAGATTACCACTTAGTTGTTAAGGCTACGGCTTATTCGTTAGGGTTACAACTTAGTTATTACAGTTATCGCTTAGTTGATAAGGTTATGACTCGGTTACTAAGACTACCAATTGGCTTAGTTGTTAAGGTTACAGCTTAGTTGTTAAGATTATGGCTTAGTTGTTAAGATTACGGTTTAGTTGCAGCTTAGTTGTTAAGGTTACAGCTTAAATTGTGAAAATTAAGTGTCAGATGTTCAGGGTATTCACAACTAATTAATATCCTCGACAGCTAACACTTAACACACAACTTAGTTGTAAACTTAACAACTAAGCCGTAACCTTAGCAACTAAGCGGTAACCGTGATAACTAAGCTGTAACATTTACAACTAAGCTGTAACTTTAACAACTAAGCTGTAACCTTAACAACTAAGCTATAACCTTAACAAGTGAGCTATAACCTTAACAAGTGAGCTGTAACCTTAAAAACTAAGCCGTAATCTTAACAACTAAGCTATAACCTTAACAAATAACAACTAAGCTATAACCTTAACAAATAACGTTAACAACTTATGTTTACTACATACTATTAATCATGTATTTTTTGATCAAAATTATGCATAACATTAACAGCCAATCCAAAAGGGTGGCATCGAATACATATTGTTAACTGTTAATACAAAAGGTTAGCATTTAATACATATCATTAGCAACTAGATAGGCTCATTGCATGTTATTCGATTGTGACATTTCATGTGGCATCAGGAGCACTTAATAGACTGACTATTCAGCGACTTGACGTTCTTTCATATAGTACATGGTCTTCCACATCTTTTTTAGTAAGGAGATGCTTTAACCAAAGGTCTTCTGGCGGTACAATGCACTTCTCGTAATCTAGAATAGGAAAGAGGATTGGTTGATAACTTCTTCTGAATACTTCAACATTCGTAAACCAATCACAATAATAGTAAATATCCTGTCCCATCCAAGTAATTGTAGCACAAGTGTGCTCACAAAGAATACGTGTGATATCCAAGATCTGCATGAACATGTTTGTTTCTTCAAATCTGCATGGTATGTTTTATTAGATTTAGCCTTCACATGCAAGCAGATTCCTTGATGAATATTATCACTTAATACTACCTGAGCTTCTGAACGTAAGTGTCTAGTCCATTTTGCTGCCATAAGCCTTCTATCATGCATGCGCTCCATGATTTGCTTTCATATCATCTCTACCAAAGGTAAGATTCATAACATTCGTGTCATTCTTATCCAATTGTTGAAGGACTCGGCAATATGTAAAGTAACATTGGTATGCTTGTAAATCACATGAAAAAACTCATAACATTGACAAATAAACTGTAACCTTTACAATAAAGTTGTAATCATAACAACAAAGCTATAAACTTAACAAACAAGTTATAACATTAACAACCTAGTTGTAACGTTAACAACTAAACTGTAATCTTAATAACTAAATTGTAATCTTAACAACCAAGCTGTAACCTTAACAACTACGCTGTAACTTAACAACTATGATGTAACCTTAACAATTACATTGTATCCTTAACAACTGCAAAGTAAACTTAACAACTACGGTGTGAACTTAACAACTATGATGTTTACTTAATAACCGATATGTATAGTTAACAATAAAAATTTAACCTTAACAACTAATGAAAAACTCAGCAACAAACTAAATTAAACAATAGTATCATACATTATACCAAGGAAATAAGCATTTGACAATCTCTCTAGGGAGTAATTCATTGCAATAGCATAAGCCCTTGCATTTATCAAGGCCAATTCTTTCATGTAATCATCCCGTTAGACAATTGTGAGCTTATAAGCTGTGAATTGTAACAAGTCACCCAATATTTAAGTGATATTTTATCTTTTTTTTAATTCTCGACTAGATGGAAAACACACCTAGAATGTAATGCATTTGTAAGAAATTCTTCGACTGCTACTCTAATACCATTGTCGGCATTAGAAATCATGACCAATTGACATGGGGGATTGTAACAATTTTCTCTATCATGTAATATGGACCACACTCCTTGTAAGAACTATTTCCAATCTTCCTCATTCTCCTGGTCACATACGCAATAAGTAAGAGGATATACTCCTTAGTTATAGTCATATCTTGTACTGCTAAGTAATATACCTCTGTATCATTTTTTAAAAAATGTTTCATTCAAAAATAACAGAGGCTTTCATCTAGCAATAAACCCTTCAATACAAACATTATAACTTATGAACAAAT